ACATTTAAGCTATTTTCACAATTATACATAACACCACAGTGATCATCCTAAATGACTTCGTATCTTTAATAATATATTCTTATGACATAAAGTGTGATAAACTTTTATCAAATTAGAAAGGTTAAAGTCATTTTACATTCCATCAGTGTTATGTGATACCTGTAAAACCAGTCGTTCTATAAATGCAAAATAAGGCCTGGGTATTCTTCCTTTGTGTGAAAACATCAGAATCCTATTTGTAACATAATTTTGTAAAATTTATTTCCCAATTCAACAAGTCCAAACTATATCTTCACAAAATAACTTAATTTTATAATTACAACCCAATTTCATCAAGTAGATAGGCTTCTTACTGCCTTATATCTCAACTTTCTTTATACCCTGGCTTCCCACTCCTACCGTACACATCCACATTACCTCCCATGCTCCTCCTTTTCCACATGAACAAATTAACAGTTTTCCTTGGCTTGATAACCGATCTAAAGACACAGGCAAAAAAACTTACTCAAAGGGAAACTATATTTTTCTGTAATTATATCAATTAATTCATTTTCACTTCACTTAATTTGATACTTAGAACCCAAACTTTTGGTTAATATAATTATGAGTTTGCCATCTAGCAATCCTTTTTTATCTAAACATTTCTGCTCATGAGGAGGAATAACTATAGACAAAGGATGTTGTGTGTTAAAAATCAGATGACAAACTATATACAAACACTTGGTAATGCTCCGTATTTTTCAGGACCATCAAGTTAGGTTAAATTTAACTTAAATCCTAATATATTCAGGATAAAGGAAGAGAAACATTTGTTCTATGCCAGTGGTTGGCAAACCGCGGCTCGCGAGCCACATGCGGCTCTTTGGCCCCTTGAGTGTGGCTCTTCCACAAATACCACGTGTGGGCACGCAGTACAGTGCGCGATTGAAACTTCGTGGCCCATGCGCAGAAGTCAGTTTTCGGCCTGGGCGAGTCTATTTTGAAGAAGTGGCGTTAGAAGAAGTGGGGGTGTTGGTCGGTAGGCGACGGGAGACCAGGCGCAGGCGGGCTGCGGGATACGGGCTGCGGGATACGCAGTGCGGGCGAGGCACCAAATATCAACAGTACTTAAACTATATAGGTAGGTTAATAACAATGTACCTACCTATACAGTTTAAGTTTAAAAAATTTGGCTCTCAAAAGAAATTTCAATCGTTGTACTGTTGATATTTGGCTCTGTTGACTACTGAGTTTGCCGAACACTGTTCTATGCCATCACTTTCTACCCGTTTAAAAGTAAACTCTATGAAAGAGCATAAAAAAAACCTAAAATACTCTTATTTACATGAGTGGAGTAAGAGAGAGAAGAAACGAGGTTGGGGTAGAGAATTTGAACACTATGAAATTATCTGAGACATTTACTAACCTAACTTTATACACATATCTAACATCCCTAAACCATTTTCTCTTCCCTCTGAAAAGAAGAAAAACTCTCAAGAGCCAACCAAAGCAAAATTAACAGCATGCTTTCTAACTCACCATATAAAGGTTTCATCTCAATTCTCATGCTAGATCTTAGTGCTAACACTCCAGGGGAGTTGAACACTGCTCATGTTTTAAACTTTTATTATGTAGACCTTTCCGTTTGACCTTTTTAACAACGTTCCTTATTTGGCTACCTTTGACTTCTCCTTTGGCTCTTCCCCTCTTCCTAATTCATAGACATTTCACAAAAGTCTATCCCTCAATCTTCTCTCCACTGTATTCCCGCTATAATTTTCAGGACCCCAAAATTTCTTAATTAAACATACCCTAACCTTAATCCTCCCTATAACCAACCATTTAACCTAAAAACTTTTTTTCCTTCTGTGGTTCTAAAAAAAACCTGAAAAGTACAGTTTAATCTACTATTCTCCTTTCTAGATCCCAATAACTAGTTATGATGTTTTCAGGGCAGAGAGACCTAATAGGTTGATGTATTTCAACTGTAAGGTATTTATTTATATACTAGGCACATAATTATAGTGATTTTTAGCATTATGGGCTGTGGAGACAAAAATCTAAGTTCCACTACTAGCTACAAAATCTTCAGCAAATCATGGTGTCTTGTTTCCTCGGCTGTAAAATGAAGATAGTAACAATGCCTACCCACAGTGTTTATGAAGATTAATGAGTTAAATACATGTAAAGAACTTAGGAAAGTTGTGATGAATAATAAGAACTAGACATTAATTATGCTAGTGGTAATTGTTATAAGGTACACTGAAATGGCTATAAATATACTAAAATTTTTTATAATTGATATAATGAATACTCAATAAAACTCACCCTTTTAAAATAAACCATTGGTTTTAATATATTCACAAAGTTGTATACTATCACCACTACCTATTTCCAGAACATGTCCTCATCCCATACCCATTCAGTCATTCCTCCACTCCCTAAGCCCCTGGCAATCACTAAATATACTTTCTCTCTCTGAATTTGCCTATTCTGGACCTAGTAGTGGAATTACTGGATCATATGATAACTGTGATTAAGTTTTTGAGGAACTGCCTAACTACTATGGTTTTTAATCATGCTAATGAGCTTTTATATCTTTGTGTTACTGTTTTCCAAAAATATTATTATAATGAAATTATATTATTTTACTGAGATATTGGTTTTTGATCACAACTTCTCTCTGATTAATTCAACCCATAAGAATTTTCTGTCTATATTACAGAAAATGAACTCTAAGACTTGAGACACCATCAATCACTAAGCATCTAATTCAAGAATGTTTTAAAAACTGTAGACTAAATGAAGATACGCCATGGTCTGAATGTTTATGCCCCAACCCCCGATTCTTATACTGAAAACCTAATGCCCAAGGTGATGGCATTAAAAGGTGGGAGATGATTATGTCATGAAGGCTCCAGGGATTTAGTGCCCTTTTGATAGAAGCTCCAAGAGTTAGCACATCCCTTTCACCATGCGAGGGCAAAGCAAAGCTATGTACCAGGAAGAGGGCCCTCCCAAGAACATGACCATTCTGGTGCCTCAATCTTGGACCCTCCAGCCAGATTGTGAAAAGTAAATTCTTGTTGTTTACAAGCTACCTAGTCTGTGGTATTTTTTATGGAAGCCCAAATGAACTAAGTCTGCTGAATATTACACAGAAAGGGCTTTTAAAAGTTTAAACTGTTTACTTTGAGGATGCTCAATCTTTTCTAGTGAGTAAGCTGGATTTGAATAATATGTTTATGTGGATGATTTTCATGACAGAAATGCTCATTCCCCCAATTTTAGAAAAATGACTGACAAATATTAAATCTAGACTAATTTCTATAAAAGCTCATCAAGAAGTTGGTAACAACACACTTAGGTAAAATGCCTAACCCTCATTATAAATACAAAAAGCGAAATGAATATAAAATTATTTTACCTTCTCATTGCTAATACTGGCCTAAGAGAAAGTCTGTGCAATGAAAATATTGTATATGAAACACCTTTTAAAAGTGGAAAGATTTCAAAAGTAAAATCACTTACCTATGTAGACTCTTTTGCTGTATCTCTGCATCAGTAATAACACAAATACATGCAGTGGAATAAGGTTGATAATAAACACATAACCACCCCAAGCAGAGACCTATGGGTAAATAAGTTAAATAATTTGTTTGCTTTTTTTAAATAGGTAAGTTTTGTCATGATAATCAAAGCATACAGTAAGCAAATATATTTAGCAATTTTGAGAGATGCTTAAAAATGGATTTATATAACCACAAATAACTTATTTCTCCTTACTTTTATTGATAATAATTAAATAATACTATAAATCCAAAATGCTTTCCTACATTCACTTGAGAAATGGTCAAATTAAACTTAACGAGAATGTTGAGAACATTATAACTTATGAATTGAAAGTAAAAGGATTGTCATGAAATAAGGACTTTCAGGATATAGATCATAAACATTTATAGGAAAAAAGCCCATTTACTTCCCCCATTTTTGCGTGATAAATATATTCAAGAAACTTTACAGAGAATATAAACAGGACTGTTAGGAGAAGTCAACAACTAACTAAAGGGAATACTCAAATGATGTGGATATGCTTTGACAAAATCCTCAAAATAAAGGTGCTGCCTAGGGCAGTGATGGCGAACCTATGACAAGCGTGTCAGAGGTGACACACGAACTCATTTTTTGGTTGATTTTCTTTGTTAAATGGCATTTAAATATATAAAATAAATATCAAAAATATAAATCTTTTTTATACTATGGTTGAAAATATCAAAAAATTTCTATATGTGACACGGCACCAGAGTTAAGTTAGGGTTTTGCAAAATGCTGACACGCCGAGCTCAAAAGGTTCGCCATCACTGGCCTAGGGTATAAATTATTTCCTATACAAATCAAGATACCATTTTAATGTTTGGCCTATATCACAAAATTAGAATAATTCTATTTAATCAGAATAACTGAGTATGTTCTAGTGTAAATTTATAAAGATCCTAAAGATAATGTTTCTTCTCAATCAATAGAATTAATTTTTAAGTACATTCAATAATAGGAAACAGGGTCTTATCAAGATAAAAGTTTTTGGATGTGCTCTAATAATTAAAAGTTTGAAAAAGCCATGTATAGCAATGGCTTATAGTCTTAAGAGACTATATGTTAACATATACGTATTTTAACAATGCTGCCCTTGTCTACAATATTTCAGAACCACTTATAAGGAACTGTCTTCAGTTTATAATGCCAACAAGAACATCAGTTTATTGTTTCAGTCACATGCTACTGTTTTTTTCCCCAGCAAAAAGAATGTTACTCTGAGCACCTAACTGAAGGATTCCTGATTATTTCCAAAATTTAAGTCTTAACTTGAAAGAGGTTTACTATTACTGAGTATAATTACACAGAATGTGTTCCTGGTTTTAACCACTTTAAAAGTGGTACAGATAATTTGGATACAAAAATCCTATGACATTTGTTTAAAAACAAAACAAAAAAAGGTACCTAACTTTATCATTAATTTTCAGGCATAAAACTACTAAACAGGCTGTGCTGTGAAAAAGAGAGGAGAATGAAGAGGTAATACTGAACCCCAATCTCAGGTAATTTGTTGAAAAAAATATGTAGTTTACAGATTAGTCTAGAGCAGCGGTTCTCAACCTATGGGTCTCGACCCCTTTGGTGGTCAAACAACCCTTTCACAGGGGTCGCCTAAGACCATCCTGCATATCAGATATTTACATTATGATTCATAACAGTAGCAACATTACAGTTATGAAGTAGAAACGAAAGTAATTTTATGGTTGGGTCACAACATGAGGAACTGTATTTAAAGGGCCAGAAGGTTGAGAACCACTGGCCTAGAGGATGTTACCATTATTTAGGTTGAGTTGTATATTTAAAAAGAAAGATTTTTGTTTCATTTGCTGCAAATATTATATTTGAGAGGTTGAGTATTAGCCCTCCCCACTAAAGCAAAAGTCCATATGTGTAGGGAGTGGTTAATAGGTTTAAGCCTCCAACTGACCTGTTGTCAAAGCCACAAACAAGTCCCAGCTTAGAGGGCACAGCCCTCTTAGCATAATTAGGCTTGACCTTATGACGCTCCCAGATCTTATCTGGGAAGCCAATGGGCTGAGGGAAATGTAGCAAGTGCTGTCAAAACAAATGAAACTCACAAGAACATTGTAACTATGGTGACCACTACCTTGTTGACCTCTGGCTATAAAATAAAGGCTCTGCTTGCTGTCTGGATCTCTCTCTGTGGCCTTAGCCAGGCACAGGAGATCCACCTAGACCAGTGGTTCTCAACCTTCCTAATGCCGCGACTCTTTAATACAGTTCCTCATGTTGTGGTGACCCCCAACCATAAAATTATTTTCGTTGCTACTTCATAACTGTAATTTTGCTACTGTTATGAATCGTAATGTAAATATCTGATATGCAGGATGTATTTTCATTGTTACAAATTGAACATAATTAAAGCATAGTGATTAATCGCAAAAACAGTATGTAATTATATATGTGTTTTCCGATGGCCTTAGGCGACCCCTGTGAAAGGGTAGTTCGACCCCCAAAGGGGTCGCGACCCACAGGTTGAGAACCTCTGACCTAGACCCAGCTTATTCTCTTTGTCTTTTCTACATCCTTCGCGCCCCCCTCTCAGGCTCACCGAACCCTTGGCTGAGCTGGCATGCCACACATATGGGCTCTGGGGATACGGGTAAGGGAAGAGAATGGGAGTAATGAAAGAGTATACATTAAACAAAATTAAGATCCTAAAGATTTCAGAAGAAACAAAGTGGAGAACTAGCCCCTGATAAAAAGTAAATGAAGAGGAGGAACTGGTCTAACTTCTAAAAAGATTTGTTAGACCTCATGTAGTTTCAAATATAATATCTTACCATATAGAAATACGATAAGCAGCAGCACACTGTCCAAAAAACAGAACCAGTTTTTACAGATTTTACCTAAAAACAAACAAAAAAGCTGATGTAATAAATATGTTAATAAATGCTCCTGCTAAATAAAAAATGTTTAGTAAACATGTATTACAAAAAGCCAAAGTTATTTTTAAAATGTACTAAGGTTATTCAGATCCACTTAATATATTCATTTGTAACACTCGGCAGCAGTCAGACATTTTAAAAATAGCTTTGATTTTAATTCTAGCTATTTAGTTTTCAGTAAAAAAGAATTATCTTAAAGGAAATTATATATTTCCATTTGTCACATTTTTATATTAAAGTTATTAATATCAAATTGAGATTTTAACTAAAGAATAAAATTATTCAGTAAATCTTCATTTCCATATTGTTTATTTGCTTAACCTTAATATGTAACTTTTCATTTGAATGTGATCATCTCATGTATAATTCTAATTATGAGCAACCATTTTGGAAAATTTTTATCTAGAAATTTTCAGATACTATATATAATCAATATCTTCAAGAAACTATTATATTCCCAAAATAGTTTCTAAACAGCCTAATAATATAACAGTAAAATTCTCAATTACTCTGAACGGGGAAGACAACTTGCAGTAAACAAAGGCTCAAAAATTTGACCAATTTCTACCTAGTGACTTAAAAATTAATCAAAGAAATAATTCCCAGATAAGAGTTTATATATTCATCTGAAAAAGCAAAATATATTAGCAACTTCAGAAAAGCAATTTTATTTTTGCCATGCCCTCACTCTTCTTTGCTTTTTTTAAAAAAAAAATCTTTATTGTTGAAAGTATTACATATGTCCTCCTTTTTCCACTATTGATCTCTTCTAGCAACCACTCCCTGCCCCAGGCCTTCACCACCCTACTGTCTGTGTCCATGAGTTATGCATACTATATGCATTCAAGTTCTTTGATTGATCCCACCCACCCTCCCCCACCTTCCCTCTGAGATTCCACAGTCTATTTCATGCTTCTATGTCTCTGGATATATTTTGTAAGCAGAAAACTAAATTTTAAATTTCAGAAACACAAGGCTCTAAATACTCATGCCAAGAGCAAAGGGTCATTTTTTAAGATGAATCATGTGAATGTTCTAAAGAAACTAAGTCCTATTACAAGCAATTCTGTATTAAAAGATTCATTGCCATGCCTGATAAGAAGTTCAATTTTAACATTATTTTTGAAAGCTCATTTAAAGGAATTCTTTACTTTTAAAATGGGCCTCTACTATACTACTACATTAAAGTAAAGAACAGGTGTCAATCAATCAGTAGAGCCTCCCATCCATGGTTTTGCTTTCTTAGGTTTCAATTACCTGAAGTCAACCACAGTATAAAAATATTAAATGGGAAATTCCAGAAATAAACAATCCATAAGTTTTAAATTTAATGTCATTCAGAATCGTGATGAAATCTTGCGCTGTCCCCCTTCGTCCTACCTAGATATGAATCATCCCTTTGTCCAGTGTCTCCACAACTGTATGCTACCTGCTCATTAGTCACTTAGTAGCCATCTTGGTTATCAGATCAACTGTCTGTATTGCATTGCTGATGTTCATGTAACCCTTATTTTACTTAAAAATGGCCTCAAAGCACAAGTGTAGTGATGCTAGCAATTCTTATATGCCAAAGAAAAGCTGTGGAATGCTTTCATTAAGGGAAAAGGTAGAAGTCCTTGATTCAATAAGGGGAAAAAAAAAAACATAAGCTGAGGTTGCTAAGATCTACAGTAAGAACAAATATTATATCATGGAATAGTGAAGGAAAAATAAATTCATTTTTGTTTTGCTGTTTAAACTCAAACTACAAAATTCACAGCCACAGTGCATAAGTGCTCAGTTAAGATAGTAAAGGTTATAAATTTATATGTGGAAAATTTCTGGAGACTTTTCAAAAATTAAATCTTTGAGAGACCACATTCACATAGCTTCTATTTTATCACTGCTGTTGTTAATCTCTTACTATGCCTAATTTACGAACCAAACTTTATCATAGATATGTATGCATAGTAAAAAGCATAGTAAATACAGGGTTTGCTACCACCCACCATTTCAAGCATCCATTGGGAGTCTTAAGATATGTTCCCTGTGGGAAAGGGGGGAGACGACTACTGTCATCAACACAGTATGGTATTGGTGAAAGAACAAAGATCAATGAAACAGAAAGAGAGCCCACAAGAAGACCCACACAAATAGTCAACTGACCTTTGACAAAGGTGCAAAGGCAATTCAATAGAGAAAGGATAGTCTTTTCAACAAAATGGTGCTAGATAGAACAACTAGACACGTACATGCAAAGAAGTGAATCTGAACAAAGACCTCATTATATTCCACAAAAATTAAAGCAAAATGGGTCACAGACCTAAATGTAAAGCACAAAACTATAAAACTTTCAGAAAACAGCATAGGAGAAAATCTGGGTATCCTTGGTCTGATGATGGTTTGTTATTTTTTGATACAACACCAAATGTATGATCCATGAAAGATAAATTGATAACTGGGACCTATTAAACAGAGTAGATAGAGAATATTTCCATTGTCACACAAAATTCTATTGGAAAACATTCCTCTAGATCTACAAACATGTGTTCAGGTTTACAGTATTAAAAGACTTAAATCCTGCTTGTGTTTTGAATGTGGAAAGCTAAAAAGGTCAATTTCACCATAATGAGGAAAAAAGTCTAAACAATAAGTTTTCTTAAGCTTATCACAAAGTTAGTTACAAGGCAAACAATTATGCAAATGCTAGAATAGCTAAGGATCTTCTAGACAAAAGGGAAGTCAGCACTCACAAGCTCTTTTTCATGGGCCTCCACCAGGTTGTCATATTAAGATGACAATTCTCCCCAAACTCATCTATAAATAATGTACTCCCAATAAAAAATTCCAGTTGGCTTTTTGGGTAGATGTTGATAAGCCAATTCAAAACTTTATATAAAGCAAAAGACTAGGAAGAGTAAAAAAAAAAAAAAGTCTGAAAAAGAGGAACAAAGTTGAATTACTCATGCTACCGGATTTCAAGTGTTTTTATAAACTAATAAACACAACCTAGTGTATTGTAATAAGGATAGATACATAACAGATCAAAACAGAGGGAAGAATTGCCAAACAGACCCAATGTATATGACAACTGATCTTAACAAGGCTACCAAGGTAAATAACTCAATGGAGAAATAACTGTCTTTTCAACAATGGGAGTTGGATCAATGGATATCCAAATCCAAAAGCAGAGAACCCTAACCCTTTTCTTGCACCACAGGCCATAATCAACTCAAAATGGATCACAGATCTTAATGTAAAACCTAAAAATACTCAATTTCTAGAGAAAGTGTTTGTGATCCTGGGTTATACACAGACTTCTGACAATACACCAAAAGCAAGACCCATTAAAAAAAGAAGATATATATATGAATTGAACTTCATCAAAATTAAAGATTTCAGCTCTTAGAAAGATACCATTAAAAAAAATAAAAAGACAAGCCACAGACTGGGAGAAAATGTTTGCACAACACGCATCTGATAAAAGACTTATTTCTAAAATATACAAAGAAGTTTTACAACTCAATAATAAGAAAACAAATAACCCAACTGAAACATAGCCAAAGGTTTGAACAGATGGAAAACAAGCACATGAAACGATGCTCAATATCAGT